ATGAGTTGGTACCAACTCCATGGCACCTAACAACAAGCTTTCCATAAAAACTTTGGAGTTGTTGTTGTCACTTTAATCTCATATAATAGTTTTTCAAAAGAGTGCAATGCTTAAGGCAAATATTCTTTACTAAATAAGCAAATTTATTTAAACCAAACAACATTTGGTTTAAAGAAGACTTCAGGGGATATTTTTGACTTAGAAATTAAGGTTTATCTCTGGGCAACAGATTCAGGGGTTCTTCTAGGCTCAATGATTCCCAAAAGTCTGGATTCCATGAGAATTTGGAATTCTGTTCCACACTTCCCCATTTTATCAGGATTCTTATACAGTATCTTCACAACAAATCCTTTTTTAAAATTAACTTTTTGTTGTAAATTGAGTGACAGTTTACATGGGGGACATCAGTTGTACATTCATTATTTCATTGCAATGATTACAATCTCCTCTGTGCCTCACCATTCAACAGTATTTGCTTCTATTCCCTTTGTTGTTTTTTGTTTTGGTTTTGGTGGGGGTGGGAGGATATACACAAAAACACTCAGGAATAGATAATCATTTAAACCAAAGGACACACACTGCAAGCCTGCTTCCTGGCCACCAGCACCTAGCTGCCAGCACACAGCCTTTCTCTTTCCATGAGTCTAGAGTCCTCAGCTGCTCTCTCTCTCTCCGTGCCCGCATCTTTGTCTCTGTCTCTGGTGTTGCTGCTTCTCTGGATAGGATCCTACATTCTGCTCGTGCTCTTCTCACTTGATGGTCCTAGGAGTCTCTCTTCCTGGACTGTAAGATTAACTACTCCCCTCTTTTTGTTACAAAACTTCTACCTTTACAGTTCTGACCATCGTAATTAGTCATGATAACAATTACTCATTATTGAATCATAAGAATCTTAACCCCATCTCCTTTCACCAGACCCCTCTAGACAAGAGGAAAATTATTCAGTAGGGATTCTATCTTCCCCTGCATACTCTGAAACTAAACTCCCTCTTGAGAACTTGTAAGCAAGTCGCTTTGTGCCTTTATCGCTCCCTCATTTTAGGTAGCCAATGTCTAAGTTGCCCATTTCTATCAACCCTGTATACAGAGGGGATAGGATTGATCTTGGATGTGAAGACTCCTTCCCTCTCAGTCGGTATTTTGAGCTACTACATCCATAAGTTTAGGTCAAGTTCATCAAATTGTAGCAATTTACACTTGTTTCCTTTTTTTAGGCATTCTTGTGCATCTTCCCTCACTTCATATCAGCTGTGTGCTTCATTCTTAGCTCTAGCCCTCCATGGCTATGTCTTTGTCAATGGGGTCAGGAGTCCCCAGGTCTCACCACACTTCAGACCAACTAACCCCTCCCCCTCTCTCTCATCTCCAGGCCGACAGGAGTCTATGGACTGTGGTTGAACTCGGCCCATTCTTCATTGCTGCCTTTCCCCCTCTTCCACTCACCAGTAGACCAATGTGGCTGTCAGCAAGCTTACATGCCTGCTCAGGTATTCCCTCCACAACAAATATTTTTGGAGTGTAAGTGCAGTCGAGTCGTTCCAACTCATAGGGTTTCTGAGAAGCAGCTGGTGAGTTTGAACTGCTGACCTTGTGGCTAGCAGTCCAGTGCTTATCCTGAAGTGACACACCAGGACTCCAAATAGTTCATAGGGCATTCTTATATTTAGAAAGTATTGTTTATGGGACTCTGGCAGGATGGCGGGCTAGGCAGAGTAGGTGCATGGACCCTCTACAACAAAGATATTAGAGACAGAATAAAACAGACACATGAAGCTTCTGGCACCCTGAAAATCAGAAGAAAGGTTAGAGAGCTGCATGGAGTGCTTGCTGGGAAGAGAAACTGAGCAGGGATGGTGAGAAAGGGAGACTGGTGAACAGCTAGCCAAACACAGCCCAACCCTCTTGTGAGCAGCTTTGGCAGCAGAGGGAGGCCTGGCTAAGCAGATTCATGTGAGTAACAGAAAAAGTGGCATTTCTTCCATTTTCCCACACTCCCCTGGTGACCAGAAGTGTGGCCAGTTTCCACCCTCATCCACCCCCAGCACAGATCCTGCTCTCCGGGAGTTCAGAGCCACATGAATGGGAGCCACACCAGTGTGAGTTAGGAGCTGGCTGCACAACTTTTTGTGCCACTTTTGTGTCTGGATTCAGGTGGGCTTTGCTCCAGACCTACACAACCCACAGAGCCACCAGACTAGCATTTAACCAGTTACCCTGTTCCCAGCTGCCATGAGGTCCTAAGAGACACTAAAACCAGTTCCATCAAGGCACCCCAAGAACTACATTTGGATCAAGTGTCCTGAACATCGATAACACTGAGGCCAATAGGAACTCACTTTGGGGCCAGGAACTCTGCTCACAAATCCCTTTCACAACTGTCTCATGAGTTCCTTGAATTGCTGGAGCCCACCAGAAATTTCTCCCTTTTGGTTCCAACAACTGCCTTGTTTGTTTTTACAAATATGACAACACCACAATACCCCAGAGACAACAGACCATTTTAGCTCAGACAAAGAAACGAGAGAACGTCTCAAACAAATGATCAAGATGCAGAGACAAAAAACATTTCTGAGAAGAAAAGATAATAGAACTAACTG